AAAATTAACTGGGTTTAAACTCTACATTACAATAGAGTACAGTATGATAAGACAGTGCTACACTGCCAAACGTGAAACCTGAAGATGTTTTGAAATTTTTAAGTACAAAATCTAATTTTGCTGGGAACAAATATTTAAAGCCAAGTAAAATCCTTTCTTCAATGTTCTTGCACTCCTTGGCACTCTAGGCTGAGGCATATTCTGCCCACTCCTCTTGAAGCAGCTTGCCTTTTCTGCACTTACATGGACTAATTTGAGGCAAGCTTAATTTGTAACTTGGCTACAGTTAAAAGACATGCTGAAGCCCTAGCTTGGATATCTGCCGGCTATTCAATGATACCCCCAAAAATTTACACTTGCTCCAGTGACTAAGTCAGCACACTAGAAAATGGGTTCCAGATGACTGGATTTTAGCATCCAAGAAACCTTCAAATTCACCAATTTGTTACTCCATTCGCATTTCTTTGGTTATATTTCATGCCTCACTACTCACATAACGCCTCACTGACACATGTTTGGGACGTCTCACTTTCCAGATTGAAACATGATAATCTCCAAATTTACAAAACCAGAACCTTAATAAAATATTTTTCCAGTTTGGTGTGGCTGTGTCGTAAACTCAACCTAATACAACACGAATGGGATGAACTGGAGCAACAATCACGAGCCGATCCGTAACATCCAAAACATGTGTTGACTGTCCAGATATTTTACATCACTAGGCGATGCTTTTTTGTGAGTTACCTCGTCTGTTGTCTGATCTCATCATTAGTTAAGACAACAGAGTTCATGTTTTCAGTTTGAAGACGATGAAGGTCTTCTTCTCTGGGCTGATGCACCTCTTGAGTCTGAAAAAACCCCCCCAAAAAAAACAAACACTCAGCACTAACAACGTAAAAGAAATACTGCTTAATAAAAAAAAGTGCTGTTCCACCTCAAAGGTTACAGAGTCTAAACTACCTTCAGTCGAATGTAGACCGTAGACCGCCCCCATCCCATGATGCTTCTGTGGATCTCCTCTGGCGTCAGCGTCTCTAGTTTCAGAGGTTGTAATTTACGCTTCTTGTCCAACGTTAAGATGTCAAAAGGTTTGTTGTCTCCAGCCAGCTGCGGGCAGGTGGATCTTAGCAGGTTCAGGAAGTCTGCCTCTTTCTGTCCCCGCGGACACTTCAGCTTCAGGACTGGACATTTCTTCAGGACTAACAGAGAGAGGAGCATAGAAACAGCTGCTTAGCTTTTTACACTTAACACTTTAACATTTTCAAAATAGAAAACATTTACAGTAAATAGTGACGACATAGTTAGTAAAAAAAAAGTAAAAAAAGAAAAGAAAAAAGAAGAGACTGAGACATTAATATTTCCAGTGAATTTAAACTCTCCTTTAGGGATGTCAGCATGTAGATCACTGGTCCTGCCAAAGGTCCTTAAAGTTTTCAGAGTTGCATCTTCATTTTGCACTTAGCTCCTCCAGTGGAAAACTCCAAAGGATTAGCTTTTTAATATAAAATTCTCTTTTTATTTAATTCAGCCATGAAGGTGGAAGATGAACAACACAGTGAGATATGGTATGAAATAGGTGTGTCTCTGAGTTGAGAGACCAAGTTTCAAAATGTGTCACATTCAAATGATGCGAAAAAAAAACGTAACAGAAGTCTGTCACTGGACAGACTTGTTACTGGACTTCTGTTACTGGACATATATATATGTATATAAACACCCAGCACGCCCCTGCGGGCGGTTTATCCTTCAAGCTCGGGTCCTCTACCAGAGGCCTGGGAGCTTGAGGGTCCTGCGCAGTATCTTAGCTGTTCCCAGGACTGCGCTCTTCTGGACAGAGATCTCCGATGTTGTTCCCGGGATCTGCTGGAGCCACTCGCCTAGCTTGGGAGTCACTGCACCTAGTGCTCCGATTACCACGGGGACCACCGTTACCTTCACCCTCCACATCCTCTCGAGCTCTTCTCTGAGCCCTTGGTATTTCTCCAGCTTCTCGTGTTCCTTCTTCCTGATATTGCTGTCATTCGGAACCGCTACATCGATCACTACGGCCGTCTTCTTCTGTTTGTCTACCACCACTATGTCCGGTTGGTTAGCCACCACCATTTTGTCCGTCTGTATCTGGAAGTCCCACAGGATCTTAGCTCGGTCATTCTCCACCACCCTTGGGGGCATCTCCCATTTTGACCTCGGGACTTCCAGGTTATACTCGGCACAGATGTTCCTGTACACTATGCCGGCCACTTGGTTATGGCGTTCCATGTATGCCTTGCCTGCTAGCATCTTGCACCCTGCTGTTATGTGCTGGATTGTCTCTGGGGCATCTTTACACAGCCTGCACCTGGGGTCTTGCCTGGTGTGATAGACCCCAGCCTCTATGGATCTTGTACTCAGAGCTTGTTCTTGTGCTGCCATGATTAGTGCCTCTGTGCTGTCTTTCAGTCCAGCTTTGTCCAGCCACTGGTAGGATTTCTGGATATCAGCCACCTTCTCTATCTGCCGGTGGTACATACCGTGCAGGGGCCTGTCCTTCCATGATGGTTCCTCGTCTCCCTCCTCTTTCTTGGGTTTCTGCTGCCTGAGGTATTCACTGAGCACTCGGTCAGTTGGGGCCATCTTCCCAATGTATTCTTGGATGTTCCTTGTCTCATCCTGGACTGTGGTGCTGACACTCACCAGTCCCCGGCCCCACCAGGGGACTGGTGAGTGCCCTGGTATATATATATATATATATGTGTGCGTGCGTGCGTGCGTATATATAATTTTTATACTTTTTATTACATTGAAATACTTATTACCATTTTTCAAGAGCAGGCTGGTCTGAGAGTGCTCCAGGATGCTGATCTTGAGGTCTATGTGGTTCTGAGCTCTGGCAAGATTTCTTCTTTCTGTCTCACACTGGTGTGGTGAAGACCTTAAAGACAGAGATCATCCACAGGCTAATTACAGTCTGAAATGGCCAATATTAAAATGGAAATCATCTAATGTACAGGTAAGGATGGTTCATTTTCAACCTTGATGGACCGGTGATGTCCGCAGTCTGCAGATTCTCATGAGACTCTTCTTTCTCACCCTCCTCTTCCTCAACAGGACTGAAGCTCCTGCTGCACTTTGATCCTGAAGAAAACAAGAACAAAGTAGAAGAGCCTCTTTGAAAGCAGAATTGTTTTATTCTTATCTTAATAATAATAATAATAACAATAATAATAATAATGGATTGCATTTATGTAGCGCTTTTCAAGACCCTCAAAGCGCTTTACAATTCCACTATTCATTCACTCTCACATTCACACACTGGTGGAGGCAGCTACAGTTGTAGCCACAGCTGCCCTGGGGCAGACTGACAGAAGCCAGGCTTATCCCATTGTTTTGTCCACTTTCTGCTGTGACACAACACATGTGGGACTAATGAAGGTTTATCTTATCTTAGCTTGTATTAATATTATTGTCTACAATGCTCTGCTTTTAATGTTATAGACCACACATGCCAGACTTCAATGACAAAATCTACTATTCTGCGATTCAGAATCAATTTTAAAAGTGTAAAGGACATGATTGTACACAGTTAACACAAACACGGCTGCCGAGCTGTTAATACTGCGAATATAAAATGTCTGAAATGAATAAAGAAATGAAAAATGAAAATAAATGGTATAAAGACAAACACGGCTGGGGGGAAAAACACATACTTCAGAAGACTTTATTTATCCCCAAGGGGCAACTAAGAGACTGACCTTGCCAACCGTACATACAATACACAAACATCACGTTGGGGAGACAGGTCAGGATAGGTAGCTGGCCGGTCAGCCGCACGAGCAGCGACCCGGAAACGAACAATGGGAAAATGTACAACATGAGGAAAGACGAGGAGAAAAGAGAACTCCCCCCAGACTGAGCTCCAACAGGGAGATCAGTTTGAGAACAGGCTTGCTAAATTCTCGTTTATATGCTACAAAGAAAATGACCCACCCGCTTTGTTTAGCGTGGCTTCATGCGGTAGAAGCTCCAGCTGTCTCTTCTGCCGGTCGATCTCCTGTCTGAAGCCCGAAGCCTCCTCCTCGTACCCGGCCACCAGTCTGTCCACAGCCGTTAAGATCTCCCGGGAGGCGGCGGCAAGCTTCTCTGTAACAAACTCCCGCAGTTCCTCGGCTTTAGACATGTCAGCCAAACGGTCCGCTGTGTTTCTGCTCATCACCGCAACCACTGCTTTAATGTTTATATCAAATACTTAGTCACTCGCAGCATTGTTTACAATCTGAGAGCGTTTCCGGTTTTGGTGCCCGTTTCATTTTCTCCCACTAGAAACAGAGACCGTCACAAACGTTCCCGGGTCACCTCAGCCGTCCTCTTTTGTGCGTCGATGTTTTTACAGAAGCCGTAATAAGCTTTAATCAGTGAGAACGTAAAAAAAACGAGATATCATTATATGAAAATGACGTAAAATGATCTTCAAAGTTTTTTTAATCAATGTATTGCAATTTCTTTATCATTTTCAATTTTAGCTGCATAAAACTGTAAAATTAAAAACAAATCGAATAAAATGTGGGATAAATATATATTGTAAAGACACACTACCTAGTCCGAAGAAAATTTATTAAGAGAAAAAAGAATAGAAATAGTGAATAAAGTAATGACAATAACTACAGAAACATACAAATATATATATATTTTTTCACATTTGTTGTGCAGATGCACTTAATGATGTAATAAAAATGTATTTAGAGCTGAAACTACAACAATGATGTGAGAGAACAACAAAATGACCAATACAGGATTCAAAAGACTACAAAAGGTTGAAAAAAAAGATAAATAAAAAAAACCCAAAAAACTAAAACTAAACTAAACATAAAAACTAATACAAATACAATGCACAAAGTAAAAGCTTTCAATTTAAAGGTACTGCAGTGGTTAGCACTGTTCCCTCACAGCAAGAAGGTCGTGGGTTCAAATATGCCATCTGTGTTGTGGTTGTTGTTTTTTTGGAGTTTCTCTCCAGGTACTCCCGCTCCTCCCACAGTCCAAAGACATGCAGTTAGTGGGGTTAGGTTAACTATTTATTCTAAATTCCATTTGTAAATGGTTGTCTGTTTCTCATTGTTAGCCCTGCAAAAGGTTGGCAAACTGTTCAGGTTGTACTCCACCTCTCACTCTGTGGCAGCTGGGATAGGCTCTAGTAACCCTTAGCTGGACTAAAATGTGACTCTAAAAAGAGACTTGATCTTTAGCTCTATCTAAAGGTCAAGTCTCTTTTTAGAACCACATTTTAGTGCAGAAGATCAAAAGTGATGCTCTGTGGTGACAGCATGGATGCCATCATCATAATTGTTGTCAAATCCATGCTTAGGCTGGGCATGAGACTTTAGCATCTGACCTGCAGTCAGAAAAGTAGAATATAAATAATATAATATATATGTTTTTATAAATAAAATAAAAACAGAATACACACATGAAGAGTTCAGAGAGAGATGAGTTAATTGTCAGCATATAGATTGATCAATGAACGATTCACCTGTGGTTCTGTGTCGATATAAAGAAACCAAGAGGAGAGTGGAGATGAAGTACGGACAGAACACCATGAGGTACCATATCAGTATGAACACAAGTTTGGGGGAGGTGGGCTCAGGTGAAAGAGGTGAGGCAGGAGCAGATGTAGTTATTTTAAGTTCACCTGCAGAGAGAATCCCACCTGTTACACTAAATATGTGGATAAAATAAGAGTGATGATCAAAGTGAAGCTCCTCACCTGTGACAGTGATCCAGCTGGATGGAGACTCTCCATGACCGCTGATGTCACACTTGTAGAGGCCTTCATCAGACCTGGAAACATGCTGGATGGTCATGTGACCTGTAGGCTGCTTCCTGATGAGGGAGCCATCTTTATAGAAAGCAGCTGGGAGGTTGGAGGGAGTGGTCTTTGTTTTACAGAGCAGAGTGACGTCATCTCCCTCCATCACAGGGAGGACAGGACTCTGCAGGATCACTGATCCACCTCAACACAGAGACAAACTACAGCATTTCATCCATTTACACACAGCTTCATCAACACTAACTCCACACTCTGATCCACAGGTACCAACTTTAAGGGCTAAAGAGTGATACACACTTCCCCCCATATCTAAATACACAATAAGAGCATGAAAGTAGCAGAGGGCTAACTTAGAAGAATGGCTGTGGGATCGAATTTCCCAGAGGAACCCACCCAAGGGATTAATAAAGTTCTATCTAATCTAATCTAATCTAATCTAATCTAATCTAATCTAATCATTCCATAAGTCAAATCTGAAAAAAGTTCAGGATCAGCTGATTAAAAAAACAAAAATAACCAATAACTTTAACAGTAACTATTTGAAGCCATTGCAATGTTTGAACCTCATACTATGAAGTTTATATATTTCAGAGTCACAGATCCCCAGAATAGTATAAGAGTGGGCTGAAATTCACTTGGAGTATGTGCAGTTTTAACAGAATTTAAAGATTTTTTTTATCCCCAAAAGATCTTAAGATTGTCTTCTTTACTTAAATGTTATGGAGACTCAAACATTCAGTAAAGATAAGGTGACTCAAAAAGTGCCAATTTCCCGCTCAGCTCAATGTCCTTCAAAGACCCGTAACTCTGATAATAATGATGGAAATCCCAATAATATAATAAGTAAATAAATAAAAATTATATGTACAATGGCTTGAAAAAGTGTTTACTGCCTTCCTGAGTTCATATATTTTGTCACACTTTTTTCACACAAATTGAAACATTAGACAAAGACAACACAAGTAAAGAGACAATACAGTTTCTAAATGAAGGTGTTTATTATTAAGAGGATAAAAAAATCTAAACCTACATGGTCTGTGTGAAAAGTTAATTGTGGTGTATCATATCTTTGGGAACCCTGATTACCGCCACACTTTTTTAGATAAAGAAATCATTTAAGTAGCACCTGCCTGCAAAATGGAGTAGATCACAAGATCCTCAAAAGCCAGACATTATGCCAGGATCCAAGGAAATTCAGGAGCAAATGAAAAACAAAGCAATTGAAATCTCTCAGTTTGGAAAAGGTTATAAAGCAATTTCTGAAGCTGTGGGACTCCAGTGAACCAGAGAGAAAGCTATTATCTGCAAATGCCAAAAACATGGAACCTTGGTGAAGCTCCTCAGGCCAAAATTACCCTAAGAGTGCTGCAACTCATCGAAGAGGTCACGAAAGACATCAGAAAAACATCCACAGAACTGCAGGCTTCATGTGCCTCAGTTAAAGTCAGAGTTCACAGCTCTACCATAAGGAAGCAACTAGTCAAAAATGCCCCTTCATGGCAGAGTTACAACACAAAAACCACTGCTGAGCAAAAGGGACATCTCAGTTTTACCAGAAAACATCTTGATGAGAAATATGGAAAATACTCTGTGGGCTGATGAGACAAAAGCTGACCTTTTTTGGAAGATGTGTGCTCTGTTACATCTGGCATAAAATTAACCGCATCTAAGAAAAGGAACATCGTACCAGCAGTAAAGTTTGGTGGTGCTAGTGTGATTAGTGTTAGATTAGTGTTTAGGGGGCAATAACTTTTTCCTACAGGGCCATGTAGGTTTGGATATTTTTTCCCTTCATTTAGAAACTGCATTTTGTGTTTTAGTTGTGTTATTTTTGTCTAATATTTAAATTTGTTTGATTTGAAACATTTAAGTGTGACAAACATACAGAAAAAATGAAATCAGGAACGGAGCAAACACTTTTCACACCACCTTATGTGCTGAGCTTACCACTGACTGTCAGGTGGATGCTCTTGCTTGTTGCTTTCTCTCTGGACTCACACCAGTAAACCCCGCTGTCCAGCGGGTCAATGTAGCTGATGTTACAGGACGAGCCAGCTGGTTTTCCCCACCCAGCTCCACACTGAGTCCTGGTTTCAAAGGTTGTGTTTCTCCTCAGAGTCCATCCAGCAGAGCTGTCGTCCTCCTCACAGCTCAGAGACACAAAGTCTCCGTAGAACAGCTGAGAGCTGCTGGGACTCACAGTCAGACGAGCTGAGAAACATGAGCGAGTCTGGGTTTTAAATAAATATCAGGGACTTTGATTTTGGTCTATTTGAGGTGCAGAAGAAAAAAACAATACAAGAGTGTAGCAATGGCGTAATGAGTTGGAAGGTTTATCAGATGGCAAAACAACACCCAGTTAACATATTTTATTTATTTAAGCCTGACAGATGCTTGCAGGTTTAGTTAACCAGCTGCTGGCTATGCAGATATAATTCTGAAGGTCTGTCTTAATGAAACTAAAGAGGATTTTCTTTTCTTTTTTTAAACTTTTACCATAATTTTTAGGTATTTCTGTTGAATTCAGGGTGCTGATTATGAAGAAGTGTTGATAAATGTATTTCATTCTGCAGGTTATTCTGCTCATTATTGGATCCACTTCATTCTGTTGTGACTTGATTTTGTTTTAGAACAGCACAATATTCAGCACCAAAAACTTCCCGTTTCACCTTTAACCTTTCAACGTCAGTTTGTCCTATAACAGGTTCACCAACCTTGGTTTGTTGTGCAGCAGATCAGTGAGGTCAGAACTGCAAAGAGAGGCAAAGTTTCAGTGAGCTTCAGTGAAGTTTTGCTTCAAACTCCAAATGTCAAGCAAAAAAAGTGCAGCAGTGACAAACAGAAAGTGTTTTTCAGGGACAGGATGTAGGTTATAGATGGAGGTGAGAAAGTAATTCAACACTTACTTAAACCTTATTTTTAAACCGTTTAATGAAGCAAAAGTTTAATTTAGAAACTTTCTGTGAGTCAAATTTTATTTAATTGTGCCGCTCTTTTTCATCAAGCTGTAAATGTAGGTAAATAAAGCTTTTCGTACTTACAGAGGAGTCGTAGAGACATTTGACCCATTGTGCCGTGAGCAGAGATGTGAGCAGTCACACCCACCGCCTTCCTCGGGTCTAGCTGCTTTGTGGGTTTTTTTTAAAAGCAGTGACAGGAAACCTGACCTTCTTACTGTAATTCTTCAGACGAGTTATGAAACATCCAGTGAATTTAGGCCACAAACACACTCAGATTTTTAAAATCACTCACTCATCACATTTCATGCTGGCATGACAGACGTCACATATGAGTACAAACAAAGTCCAGAGCAGATGGGCTGATGTGAGTTAGAGAGATTTCCCTCACGTCACTGCGACTAAAAAGAGATCATTCACAAGCTTGTGCAGTTATCTTTAAGGGATGATGTCACTAGAAAATAGCAAAATAAATGAAGACATCCTCAAGAAATTCTGTAGTCACAGAGTTTGTCTCATAATGTAGTAATTAGGGCTAAATTTATCTTTGCAAACAATTATGCATGTTGCTTTGGATTGAAGGAGACGGTTTAGCACAAAATTAGTTGCATAGCCTGTAAAGTTGGCCCAATTTAAGGTTATCAATTATTATATGGCATCTTGCAGTCAGTGTTCTCAGGTGTAACAGGTTCCCTCCACCAGGCCTTAATGAATAACGTTAGGTTTTCAGATGTACAAAATGTGGGCTCCTATCTGATGGCATGAATATAAACCTCGGTTTCCTTTGTGAAACAGCAAAGTAGGAGGAGCCGAACAACCAAATGTTAAAGCTGGCTACCTGTTCAAGTGTTCTCTTATCTGTGGTGCACAAATCCGGGGATGGTTAGTTCATAAAGCTAACTTACAAAGAAATGTGAAATTGTCCAACTCGGGTACCAAATAAGTGAGTTTAGATAAATTTGGTGATTTTATCTCATCAAGATACACCTCATAATCTTTTAAATCCTCAGATGTTTCAGTCCCATCTAAAGATATCCTCAGGAGTATGTCTGTGAAGGTTCTCAGTCACCCAGGCCATCGTAGTCAAAGGAGATTGGAAAGATCATTTGAGTCAGTCAGAACAAATTGATTCAGAATTAACTGATTAGCACATTTCACATGCATATGCCATTAATCAGATTTTAAAAATACACCAATTTGGCTTCTCATATACAAACTCAGCATGCACCAAGAGGTCTCTCAAATATTTGCCCACATTTACATACAATAAAAGTGAATATTCAAAAATATCCTATACTGGGGAATTTGATTTCAATAAATCTCAGTACTTCAAAAAAACTGATGTCACAATATGTCACTGAATCCATCTGTTGTGCAAACTTCTTTACATTATACATTAAGTTCTTGGGAATAATATAATTATGTATCGACCAAATGCCGGCCAAATGGGAGTCTTTGGACAGACCAATAATTTTTCAGTCACTAGGGTCTGCGGATGAGTTTCAATTGGAGCTCGCAATTTGTTCCTTACCAGTTAGCATGGATTACCTGCCTTATTTAAGAATATTAAAATCACTCTTGTCTTGAAGAATATTGAATTTGAATGCAGAGAGCACTTTGACCACACAAATATGTACACAGTGTGGATATTTGTGTTTTTAAAGTTTTTGTTTTCTTATTGAAAAGGTTTAAGAAATATTACCGTGTTTGTGCTGATTTTGTATTTGGAGATTTTTCCCTAATCTGGATAATGCTTTACATTGTTTGACCCATCGGACTCAGTTATTCCCAGCGCCAACATTTGTACCACTAGCCACCACTGGTCACACTGTTAAAGATGTGTTGCCAGCTTTTTATGTGATGTCATCTGCTTCCCTATTCACAATGGGTCGCCGCTGCAAGTAAATTTGCGTGTTTGAGTTTGGAAGATTTGCCAGATACCTTTCCTGACATGACTCCAAAAGATTAGGATTTGAATGATTCCAATCATTTACATTTCTTTAAATTCTTTAAATCCTTGGTGAATGCAGAGGTGCCACCAAGTAAGGCAGGTAACTACTAGGTGCCCCAGGGCAGTAGGGCCAGCAGAGGGCCCCTGAGGACTGACAAACTGCAGCAGAAGCCAAGTACAAAGTCTGCAGTGACATTGGCTGTGTCGCAATCCAGCGACCGCACGCTTTGGAGTACACGCAGTTCACATGCTATGTACAGCGCGTACTAGGAAGTAGGAGAAGTGCGGAAGTGAGACGCTTGTGAAATAGGACAGTCTAGCCTTCGTCACGCTGCTCAGGTTGCATTTTTTGGATCTAACCGTGAGAAACGTTTCACACAGCATTGTTTGACAGACATGAAGGAGAAAAAATGTTTCTTTGTTCATTAATTTTCGTCATGACATCACTTTGATTAGTTGAGTATCTGAGGTTGAGACCACAGGACTGTAAAACATGATTGTTGGGCTTCATTTCTGTGCTGAACAGTCATTTAAGATTAGTTAGTAAATAACAATTAGCTAATGTTGTTCATGAGACTAAAGTCATCTCACTGTGGTGATGTAAATATAATATGGCCAATTTTATATTTATTGTCAGATTATTATGATATATTACAGCAGTGAACTTGAACTCTGTGTCAAATGAGCTTCAGTAAAAATTCAAGTTGCAGTTATTTATATTTCCAATCACCTTAAATCTTCACTCAAAGACAAGTATCTTTATATATAAGAGACAAATATTGTTCGTTTAATATGTTGGCATTTTTACATTTGGCTCAATGCTTACATATATGTGTAAAAAGAAAATGTAAGAGCTGTGATAACTTGAAGGCCCTGAGTACTTTCTCCCACACTGAAAACACTGGAATGATAAAATTATTTGAACATTACCTAA